AGGCGGCATTGCGGATCGTCTGGTCGGGCCAGTTTTGTTTCCCCTTTTAAATGGCTCACCTAATTAGCTGAAACGATTTGTCAGGTACTTTAAGCACGATGAGGAGCCTGGACCTCCTCCCCAGGGCAGCCCCCATTGATAAAGCTGTGTCCTTTTAAATGAAGATAGCACCCTCCCACCTTCCTGTTCAAGTTTATCCTGTTCACAAATTTCTGGGTTAGGAGCCCCTTTAGAAATCGCACCCCAACTAGAAGATAAGGACAGCAACATTCTACTGGGTGTTACGTTGTTTATCTCGTTTGACCCTTACAGTGCCCCATTTTGCAAATGAGAGGCCAACCAAGGTGGCAGAGCCCAAAGCCAAGACTCAGGCAAGTAATCTAAGCCACACTCCCTCCCTAGAACAGAGAGGGAGAGAAGAGTGCCCACACTCCCACCATGTCTTGCTTCCTTCACTCCAAACTGCACTTTGACATCCCCTCCCGTTTGCTGTTAACCCATTTTTCACACCGCAACAAGTGTGCCACTTTCTTATACATCAGAACATGTCATTATTCCGTTAAAAAACTCAAATGGCTTCTTAGTCCACTTAGGGAAACTCAAATTATGTATTACAATAAAATAACTAAGTCTCTATAACATTGACATTATGCTGAATTTAAGAAGCCAGACCCAGAAGAGTCCAACCTAGAGGATTCCATGTATTACAGAGTTCAAGAGCAAGAGTAAAGTTAACTGATGGAGGTGAATATCAAAACAGTAATAACACAGAGGAACTGTACCTCAAAAGTGGCAGAAAAGGATCCTCTGGAATATTAGACATGTTCTCTATCAGAGATTGGCCAAATCCTACCCATCTCGTGTTGCTACGTTGCCCAAAAGCTAAGCATGTTTTTTACAGCTTCGGATGGTTGAGAGGAAAAAAATACTAAGAGAAAAGGAAGTTTTGTAATACGTGAAAATAATGTGTAATTCAAGTTTCACAACAACAGTGTTACTGGAACACAACCATATCCATCTGTTATATATTGTCTATGGCCGGTTTTGTACAGTAACAGCAAAACCGATTTGTTGTAACAGAGACCACATGGCCCATAAATTCTAAACTCGTTGCTGTTGGCTTTGCAAAACAAAACGTTCAACTCCTGTTCTTGCATCTGGATTTGAATAAGGTCACGTCCATGAGTATATTCCGGTGTAAAAATCCACTGCACCGTTCACGTCCGTCTTACGCTCCCTGTATATATTTTATGTGGAGATACAACTTTGCATACCCTCGGATGGCTATTGGAGTCTCTGGGTGATGCAAGTAGTTAATGTGCCTGACGACTAACGGAAAGGTGAGCTGTATGAGACCTAGATACACCTCGGAAGCAAGGCCTGGCAACCTACTCCCGAAAAATTAGCCTTTGAAAAGCCCATGGAGGGGTGTCCTATGTAGTAAGTAAGTACTTTTGCCACCTAGCTTATCCCATAATACCCCAGGTCTCAAAAGATTATAAGCAGCCCCCCAAGACAAAAAATTGTCCTGTCTTCGCCTGGAGCACCAGGGAACGAAGAGTCGGAACGAGGAGGAGGAAGTATGTGCCTAATGGTCTCCATGAAACCAAGGAAACTAGATGGTGCCAAGTTACCAGGACTAGAGATTTTGATAAAAGATTCTATAGAAGAATACTTATCAGAAGGGGGCGAAACACAGACTAGAACTTAACATTTTCATAGACTCCAGACTTTTGAAGCCGTGGAGCTTAAATGAACCCCCCCAAAACTGTTGCCAGGAAATCGTCTTAAAGCCTTAAACCAGAC